GTTTCCTTGATTGTCGATATGGGTTTTTCACCCGGCCCACGAGGGCGCGGTTTTCCTGTATAGCAAGTTGTTGAAGGTCCGGCAAGCCCAAGGGCACAGCGGTGTAGGAATAATATACTTCGTACCACAACTACTTCAGCTCTCGAGTTCGAAACTTCCAAGGAGACAACATGAACTAGTCAAGGCAATAGACTCCTTCCAGGACGTATGTGCGGACGCGGGACAACTCCACCGATTGTCTCCTTCGGGCCGTCTTGAACGCAATCGATTCTCAAAATGTTTCATTTCATTGGAATCCGCTCAACTTTGCCTTTACATTGGTGATCGATGTGGCTGCACTCATCTTTGCTGCGGTAGCCCTCTACCAAGGCATCGCGTCCGCAGCCGTAGGTCAACGGAAGTGCTCCAGGAAAGTCATAGGAGTTTGAAGGAAAACAACAAGCACGTATTCAACTGGCTCAGACGAGACTACGTGGCTTATACGCCAGTTATAACCCGATTTGTCCTCCTTTCTAGGATCGAGTCTAAGCAACGCGATAGGTTTATCGGCAAAGTTGAGAAAAATGACTACCCTACTATGTGGCTCCAATTCCTGGCCTTTTGGGATTGGACGAGTTTGTCTAGGATAATTTCCAGAATAACCTGAAGGCCGCGTAAGTGGATTACCTACCTTCCGAAGTACAAGCAGTTCCCGCATTTATCGAAATCAAGCTGCATTGCAGCCCTTAAGGCTCTGGCGGGATACGATAGGCTGGAAGTCAATCCTGAATTAGGATAACTATCCGGGTCTGACAAGACCGAATATCCATGTACAATTTTGCCGTGATCCTTTCCTAGGCATGGTCGCCTGGTTCGAGCGCGACATATCTGGATCTTTTGGCTGGGGCATTCCGCTCATCCTGCCAGCAGCTCCCTCGCCTCAGCTATCCTTATGAGCCGCGGCGATTTCGAAATCAGAGTACCCAAATCCGGCCTGGAGCAACAAAAGCGGTGCATCAGCGTTTTCCAAAACGGCCCTGATGCGCGTTACGTCGAGTATCCCGATGGAGCCGACAGGAGCCTAATAGTCACGAGTCCAGGACTGTAAATTGATGCTCGGGAATGTCGAAGATTCCAAGGCATCCGAGAGAGCCTCTGTAACAGCTGGGACCTCCTGCTCGACATTGCGGGCTGCTATAACTCGCCTGGCTTCTATATACGGACACGCCTGCTCATTCACCCGCCATGTTCCCGGCCCGCGGTGCTAATGTAGTGGAGCTGCTCGATATAATTTCGCTGCTAGGGCCATTCTGGGGCAGGAGGGGGTTAGTGGCAACGCCGGAGAAAATAGGGAGACAGGGATAAGAGGAGAGAGTGACAACGCGTAGTAGCACCCGTCGTGGCGGGCATTCCAGTATAGCTGCATTTATGCAGGTCACGACAGAGGCCTTGAGGGCGTTTAGGCTCCTGGAAATGCGTCAAAAGTTGGAGGACCGTGCGGCGCTACTTGGAAAAATAAAGGTAGATTCACATGACCATGGTCACGGAGACTTCCGGGATTGGGACTGTTAACGCGTGGAGCTGTATATGATGACAGCGGCGATTCGAGACTTGAAGCAGCTGTGGGGACTCCGGAGAAGGTCAGCATTTCCAGTGGTCTCGCACAGCAAATACTGTACCTTGGTTGCCATGTGTGCACAGCGACCCTTTTTCAGATCCCGGACAGTGCCTTAACTAATATATCAAGGAGAAGTTAACATGAGGTTTATCACATAAGACCATACCTACTAGAAAACTCGGGATCCCGTTCGCTCTCCCTTAGATAAGCTGGTAAGGGCCGGATTAGTAGTTGGGTCGGTGACGACCAGCGAATCCCCGGTGTTGTATGTCTGTTGGACTCCATCGCTTAATTTTTGACACCATCATTCCTTGGCGAAGGATCGACTGCAGCTTATCTATGGGGAAGGCATTTTCTTAGGCTAATAAAAATGTAGTTGACCTTTCGAAACCGCTTTCAAGTTTGTCGACGGCCATGTTTTTGCTTCTCTGCTGATCTCCAACCGGAGGCGTTGTATTTCCGCCAATTCCGCTCTGCCTAATATCCTCGAGTTCATTTATTCCCAAAACGTCTGCTTTATCCTTCCAATCAGGAATTCGGGGCTATCCTCCCCAATATGCGCACCGATTTTCCTTCAGGTCCTTCCATTCGCCTCCGTGTATCCATTTGGAAATGATGGCCGCCCCCGAGGTGAACACCGTACCATCAGAGTACCAAATACGGGGATCACACAGACCGTCCCAGTCGGCATGCCATGGCTGGAGTCGCTGGACCAACCAAGACTGGCCGAAAGGCAATGACCATGGTCTGTTGTGCTGTAAACGGACTTTGGATCGCTGCTCCTGCCTTTGATCCCAGCTGCATCAACCTATGTGCCACTCTGCCATCACATGCCGCGGCCGCCTGCCTGGATTGTGACTTCCCTCCGGCTTGGGTCGCTCCGTCAAGTCTGCTTGATATTACGTTGAGCATGATCCATCAAACATGCGTGTCTGTCGGAGTAATGTACCCAGTATCTTGAGGTCCCGGTTGTCCAGCTTCAGCTAAGCGTTATATAAGAAATCCCCCCCTGCTTTCGGTCCCTGGTTTCCCGCCCTCATTGTCACAACCCTGTAGCAGGACACCAGAACCACCATGCAACTTCTGCAAAGCATTGCGCGGGCCGCCGCCTTCCTGGGTCTCGGTAAGACAGCACTGTCCAGAGCCCGCGCCATGCCGCAACATGACTGATATTGGGGTCCGCATTAAAGCTCGGAGGCAGTTCGAGGCAGACTCGTCCGTGTTCGAGGACTTGGAAACGGGCTTGACCTTTGCCAGCTACACCAGCGACCGCGGCATTACCTTCCGTGTCGCCATCCCCGACCCGGTCCCCGAGAAAAAGGTCTTCGACACAGTCCTGCAAATCGTGTCGCCTAATGATGTCGGCTGGGCTGGCTGGGCCTGGGGCGGCCACATGACATACAACCCGCTCGCCGTTGCCTGGGCCAACGAGACCAACAGCGTCGTGCTCTCGTCGAGGATTGCCTAGTGCGTTGCCCAAGGAGCGTCCTACCCAGCCATGTGCACACATCGAAGTGCTAACCCTCTCCCTCTTAACAGCGGCTACTTCAGCCCGCCCGAGTATCCGGACTCGACGTACACGATCCTCGAAACAGGCACGCACCTCAACGCCACACACTGGCAGGTCACGGCCAAGTGCACCGGCTGCTCGAGATGGGGCGACGACGACATGGGTTACACCGAGCTCGACCCGCAGTACCACACCACCATGGCCTTTGCCTATTCCGACACGCCCGTGGACGCCCCGGGCGACGAGACAACCACATTCGGCATTCATACTAGTTTGGGGCATCCAATATACGACCTGGCTACCGCTAAGAATTCTGATTTTGCTGCCAAGGTGGGGAAGCTCTAAGGACCGGGGAGGGTTGTCAATTGGAGCTCCAGTCAGAGGCTGCGGGTGATTCGACTGGGAACTAGCGTAACATAGAGGAGATGGAGGACATTATGCAGCTGATAGAGATGGCCTTTTACACCGCAGGTCAAGGACACATTGACAACCATCCGATGATTATCAAGTTGAGATTGCATGAGTGTCAAGGTAGTGAAGTAATACAGGCCAGGCGCATTGTTTTCGGTCAAGGCTGCTTGTCAAAATACGATCTTCCGGGTATACAGCACAGGTTCAATTGCTTACATCTCGCTCACGGACTTTTGAACTGTTCATAATTATGATTTGTAACGTCTTTTAATACATACGACCACAGGCAGTAGAGAACTCGGGATCCCGTCCGCTCTCCCCTAGATAAGCTACTGACCGCTGGATTAGTAGTTGGGTCGGTGACGACCAGCGAATCCCCGGTGTTGTATGTTTTTTTTTTCCGTCGTCCCTCAAGCCTTCTTTTCTTTCTCTCTATCCCCCATTTCAGAGGGGCACATTCAGCAACCATCCAGGTACTCCTTGTCGGCTCGATGGCGGCGAATAAGGTAATTCCGCCGAGGGTCTTAGGCTCTGTAAAATCGCTGCAGGAGCGAGTAACGTGAAAACCAAAGACAAGGGCCCAGATTATCATGAAATGCAAATACCTACAACTTGAAATTGAAAATCAGGTGCTCCTTCTAGACGTCTGGACTCCGCAACGGAATCGGCCCCACAATGGAATCCTGGCACCACACCACCATTCCAGACATGACTAACTTCAACTCAACACAACTCATCCACTTCTGGGCAATAATCAACATGACCGCTATCCGGGAAGAGCTTATTCAATTGGCTATAGCCGAGGTTCAAGAAGGCCTTTCTTCCCAGAAAGAAGCAGCGGAAAAGTACAGCATCCCATAGTCTACCCTGAACCGACGGCTTCATGGCGCCCACCCTCGACAACAAGCCAAAATCCACGAACAACGGCTCAGTCCTGTGCAAGAGAGGCATGTAGTC